TTATCCCCTGAAGTACCAGTTGCTGAATACCACCCACAGAGCACTGTTTCCCCTCCCCCCCAGATCAGGGACCCCACACAGCAGGAAGGACTGAGTGAGGAAAAGAGTCAGGAGCAGAGTAGAAAGTGACTTGCCCAGGGTCACACAGAAAGCTGTTCCGTGGCAAGCCTGGAACTGGGTCTCCTGGCTCCTGGACTGGGGTCGCCAGGCAATCAGCAAGCCCTTAGGGGAGAGCATTCCAGGGAAGACAGCGCCTCGGAACCCGCGGTGCCACCCCGAGGTGCCCCAGAACCCACCCGCCTGGACAGCAGGTCATAGCAGAGTTTGTTCTCACTGGTGCCCAAGTTAACGATGCCCTGGAGATGGAAAACACAGAGGCAGATTGAGCATGGCAGGGGGTGCCGCTGAGAGGCTGGGGAGCCCACCAAGGCAGCAAAGCAGTGGGAGTGCTCTGCCACCTGCCCTTCCAACCACCCTTCCTTGCCTCTGCTCAAGCCACGCCCTTTGCTGGGCTCCTGGATCCTATCTTCCCACTTCTCAAGCCCGTCTCCTCCAGGAAGCCTCCCTGAAAGCCTCACCGGGAAGGGATCTTTTTTCTTTTGAATCCCACAGCTCTCGATCTATTGCCTTTAGAGCACCGGCCGGTTTCTGACTCAGGTCACAGGGACTGAGTACATGCCACGTCTCCTCGACTGATGGAGGGTAAGCTCCCTGAAGACCAGACGCATGACGAAGGCAACAGTGTGCTTCTCCAGGGGCTTAGCAGGGCTCAGTACAGGTTTACAGGTGAAAAACTGTCTACGACAAATTGACACTCTGGCAGGAACAGAAGTGAAGGCTGACGGAGGCCAAGAAAGACCCCCATATCGGTGTAAATGCTCCCCAGGAGACCTGGGCAGCATCACACAACACCTGCCTCCACTCACAGGAGAGGGAGGGGAGCGATACAGAAGCAAAACTTGGAAGAGCTCAGACTGTGGCAAAATAAAGGGCAGTGCTCCTTCACCCCTCAGGGAGCAAACAGCCATGACCTCTTAGGCTCAGGCAATCCTTCCACCTCAGTCTCCCAAGTAGCTGGGACTACAGGCGTGTGCCACTATACCCGGCTTTTTTTATTTTTTGTAGAGTCGAGGTCTCGCTATGTTGTCCAGGCTGGTCTCAAACTCCTGGGCTCAAACAGTCCTCCTACCACGGCCTCCCAAAGGGATGGGATTACAGGTGGCTCCCCCACACACAGCCAACCCACCCACACATCCCCAAAACACATGCTCAGTCCAAAGTTTTCTCACCCTGCACTGCTGGGACCCTGGGACAGACCACCACGACTTCCTGTCCACATCACCGTAATAGCATCCCTGTTTCCTGAACGTGCCCTTACCCGCTGAGGTAATCTCCATCCAGCGTCCAAAGTCATCTTTTACAAACCCAAATCAGACTGTGTTGCCCCTCCTTTGAATATCTCCTGCCTTGTCTAAAATCAGAAGGCTCATCACGCCCTGGGGTCCTACAGATTTATTACCACTGCTGCCCCATGTCCTTGTTTTTAATCCCATGTTTGCTTTATTTTTAAATAAAATGTGTTTCTCAGAGCAGCTGTAGGTTCACAGCACATGGAAGAGGAAGGACAGAGAGTTCCCACAGACTCCCTGCCCCTACAAACACACCTACCCATGCTTTCTTTCCTGCTGTCTTTATCTGTTTGCGCCTGCCATCACAGAATGCCACACACTGAGTAATTTGTAAATGACAGAACTTCACTGCATGGCTCTGGGGACTGGGAGGTCCAAGATCAAGGGAGAGTGACTGGTCTTCCCATTACCCTCCTGACTTCATCGCCTGTTCAGACCACTTTACTCCAGCCCCAGCGGCCCCTTCGTTGTCCTTTGAATTCACCAAGCATGGTCACAACCCGGGGCCTTTGCACTGGCTGTTCCCTCTGCCTGGAATCCTCCTCCCCGATATCCTCATGGCTCGCTCTCTGGGCAGGCTCTAAGATCGCCACCTCCAGGTATTCATATCTCTTTTTCTTTTTTTTCATTCTTTCTTTTTTCTTGTTTTTTTGGAGTCGGGGTCTGTCTCTCTGTCACCCAGGCTGGAGAGCAGTGTGACAATCATAGCTCACCCCATCCTTAACCTCCTGGGCTCAGACAATCCTTCTACCTCAGTCTCCCAAGTAGCTGGAATTCCAGGCATGCACCACCATGCCTGGTTTTTATTTTTAATTTTTGTAAAGTTGAGGTCTTGCTATGTTGCCCAGAGTGGTCTCAAACTCCTAGGCTCAAGCAATCCTCCCACCTTGGCCACCCAAAGGGCTGGGATTACAGGAGTGAGCCACCATGCCTGGTCTACCCACACCTCTTGAATGTGGGCTGGACCTAGGGACTTGCTGCTAATGAACAGAATACACAGAAGGTATGGGATGCCACTTCTGAGGTTAGAAAGTCTGTGGCTTCATCTTGGGTACTCACGATCTCTCACCCTCTCTGGGGTCACTTGCCCTGGGGGACGCCAGCTGCCATGGCATGAGACAGTCCTGGGGAGAAGCTCACGTGGAGAGAGACTGAGGCCTGCCAACAACCATGCAAGTGAGCTTGGAAGTGGAGTCTCTCTTCCCATCCAATCACCTTTCCCCATCTGGGCCAAGCTTTCTGATGAGACCACAGCCCCGGTTCACAGAAAATCTTGAACCTGAGGGAGCCACCGGGATTCCTGAATCCCAGAAACTGTAAAATGTTTTTTAAAAATTGTGAAATAGTTTTAAGTTGTTAAAATGTGGGGCCATTTGTTACACAGCAATAGATAACTAATATAATCCCCCATTTTTTTCAAGTCTCTGCTCAAAAGTCACCTTATTAAAGTAGCCTTCTATGAACTGCTTCTGTTAAAAAGCAACACCCCCAGCCCATACATTACTCTCTGTCTTCTGGTTTACTTTTCTCTATAGTACTTAGCCTCATATAGTGTTTTGGGTTTTTTTCTCTGTTTATTGTCTGCCTCCCCACATAGACTACAAACTCTGGAAATAAGAACTTTGTCTTAGGCAGGGCGCAGTGGCTCATGCCTATAATCCCAGCACCTTGGGAGGCCGAGGTGAGAGGATTGCCTGAGCTCACAGGTTTGAGATTAGCCTGGGTAACTTGGTGAGAACTCATCTCTACAATAAATTTTTTTAAAAAAGAACTTTGTTCACTGCTATAACTCTAGCACTTAGAATAGTGCTGTCACCTGGTGAATATTATTTTTTGTTTTTGTTTGAGTCGGAGTCTCACTCTGTCACCCAAACTGGAGTGCAGTGGAACACTCACGGCCACCCCGGTGTCAATCTGCTGGGCTCCAATGAGCTCCTGCCTCAGTCTTCCAAAAAGCCAGAACTATGGATGCATGCTACCATGCCCAACTAATTTTCTATTAATTGTAGAGACGAGGTCTCACCAAGTTGCCTAGGCTGGTCTAGAACCCACGAGCTCAGGCAACCTACTCACCTTGGCATCTGAAAGTGCTGGGATTACAGGCTGGGCTACCAAGCCCAGCCGCAAATGAAGGTTATTAAAGGGCTTTTTGTGACAGCTCTCTGACTTCGGAAGGTACTACTAAGAAAAGCTTATAGCAGGAGACCCCAAACCCTAAGCTGTGGACGGGTATGAGTCCATATCCGTGGCCTGTTGGGAACCGAGGCAGAAGATGAGTGGCGGGCAAGCAGAACTCCGTCTGCAGCCAGATCAGCGGTGGCATTAAATTCTCATAGGAGCATGAACCCCACTGTGAACTGCACATGTGACGGATTTAGGTTGTGCGCTACTTATGAGAATCTGGTGCCTAAAGATCTCCCTCCCATCCATGTCTTCCGTGAAACTGGTCCCCGATGCCAAAAAGGTCAGGGACCGCCGGCTCATAGTAACCAGGACAGATGATATTAGTAATAACAGCAGCTACCAGGTATTGTGTGTATGATGTGGCAAGCACTGTATAACTTCGTATACCAGCTCCATTTAAACTTGACTCTCCTTCAGAGCAGGTATTATCATCCCATCGAGATTCAAAGAGTTTAAGTAATGAGCTCAACACCATACGCCCTAGAAGTGAAACGGTTATGACCTGAACCCTGCCTCTGCCCCAGCTCCAAAGTTGGATAATTGACAGATCCCAGGTCAGCATTCTATGGTTCTTAAAATCCTCTCTCACAAATCAGGGTCCCCTTTATTCCAAATGGGCCGTGTTCTCATCCTCACTATAAACTGGAGCCTCATTGAGCGACGTCAGACGCCCTCTTGGAGGTCAGAGGACCACCCTGACGAGAGTGAGCTGGGTGCTGCCCGACTGGCTAAGGGAGGGTGCCCTACCCTGCAGTCCCCTCCTGGGAGGGGAGCCTCACTCACGCTGGGCTTCTTGTCTTCATCATACTCATCCGTGCGGTAGGTCCGACAGCCCTCCTCGGCTGAGTCCCAGAACCATTTGATCATCCTTCCTCTAGAGGACAGGTAGGAGCCATCAGAGGAGAACACAGCAGGATCGCCCACTCCACGGAGCCCTGGCAGCTTCTGGTCTGGTTTTCTGGAACATTCTCCTTCCAGACCATCCCCGTGGCTACTGCCCAGGTCCTGTGTAGAGGCTGGACACAGAGAGGAGGTAGGAGCCCTGGATTCCATCTGCAGAAAGACAAAAGCGCTCAATGCACAGGCCCGCCCAAGGGCTTTCCATAGCATCAAAGAGGTGGAGTCACGGGGTCCTCTTCCGCTTAGCTGCCCCTCCTTTAAGTTTGTGCACTCATCGCTGTGCAAGTCCCTTACTAGTTGTGACCTGTGTGCAACCGCTCCAACCAGTGAAATCTGGCAAGGACCTATTATGTGCCAGGGGCTGTCCTGGCGAGGCTGATGTGACTTTAATACGTGGCTGCGTTGGCTTGATCTGCTTCTGCAGAAGTTTTCCGTTCTGCAGCCTCAAGGGTCCCCACGTTGTATTTCCATTCTTGCTGATGTCAATTACACAAAGCCAAGTCAAAATGATCGACATTAAAGCAGATGGTCGCCTGGGAGTCCTGGTCTTGTGGAGGAGAGGGCAAAATGAGATAACTCAGTGATCTGGAGCCAATGGTGGGCAGGAACTGAGGGGAAGTGGAGTGGGGGTCTCCACAAGTGCAGGCACTCCAGGCCGAGCTCCAGAGCCAGCGTCTTCACTCCCCGGCGGGACGGAGGAGGCCTAGGTGTGGGAGAGGACGGTCTCATCCCGCCGTGGATGTGGGCACCTTCGCCCCTGCAAGCCAGCTTCCTGGACTGCACAGTGGGTATGACAGCAGCCCCCTCCAGGGGTGGCAGTGAGGGGGAAGGCGGTAAGTTAACTAAGACAGCGCACCTGGCTAAAGTCCAGCAAAATGCGTCATTAGGGCACAACTTTCCCAGTCCTCACACAACAAAGGGTGGGCGACCGGCGGGAGGCCCAGAGACCCAGGGGTCCCGCGCTTATACTTGGCTCCGCAAAGCCTTAGGTGGGGAGGGGTGTCCTCCCCAATCGGCTGGGCTCTCGGGACCGCTCACCTCCAGCCTCCCGACAGCCCAGGCAGGAGGAAGGGCGCTGGGGTGGGCGGCACGGCAGGGCGGGGCGAGTCCGCGGAGGGACCCC